ATGCATTGATGTGATTTTATGTATCTTCATATATATTATGTCTCTATATCATTAATGGAGTAAATTAACCAAATAATTAGACTCTTCCCCACCCCCATTCTTTGCTGATTCCAAACTACGTAAAAGCACTTCAGATTGTAAATAGCATGCCATATAAAACCTTCCAATGAATCTTTAAATGACATAGGCATTTCTACAGCGCTTACTACAGGTGCATTCTGCTGTTATTAAATGACTCTATAGGACTCTCTCAAAAAAAAAGAAACCTAGAGCTTGGCTTCTTTCTATCTGTTACAACCTAGTTTATTACCTTGGTTATAGCAGTGGTAATGCAAAACCTTTATGAGGGCAAAATGTTTACGAGGCATCCCAAGATTTAAATAATATTCATTGAAAATTTGCCTTTGCTTGCTACTTGCTAGGTACACAACTGATTTATGGAATTTGGGTGAAGGAGTCAGGCATCAAGCACCACACCCCCCTGGACACTTTAGCACAGAGAAGATACAGTGGGGGAAGCAAGGAGGTTAGTCCCCCTTAGTCATTCGATTTCACACGTAAAGTAGTCTCAGAGCTACTTCTGAGGAGAAAAAAATATTGCCGGTTCCAATTTGGAGAGTGTGTAGAGCAGTTGTTTGTAGAGGCATTAAAATGCTATTCTTCATTGAAAACGTTCTTCCTTGTGACATTAATACTAGCAAAAGCCAGCCCTTGGTTTTCCCTGATTTTTAAAATTTCATTGTAAATGGAAATAGTTCTCTTAAAAATACCATTCGTCAAAGCACTCAGCAAGTGAATAATTGTGAATGCAGGCAACAAATTCTATCTTCTAACCCCCTTTTTGTAGGAAATGTTGGAGATTGTAATCCCACTTTTTACTGCATGATTTTATTTTTGAGAGGAATTTGCAAGAGCAAAAATGTAAAGTTACTGAGACATTTTCTGAGACAACATATTGCTCGCTAGCTAGCTGTTACCTAAAGCTGTCAGAGAAAAAGGTCAATAACTCCCAATGTTTTCCTGTCCATTGTCATTTCTCTTCCAAATCAACAAATGCCCATTTAAAAAGAATCCCCTGAGATGCTTACATTCCATTCTTTGTGAAATGCAACAAATGCAGATAAATGTGTTCGGCTGATGGCACCCGCCCAGCAGATCACTCCGTTCATTCTTCATCTTTTTGATTATGACAAAGGTAATTTTTCGTATTGTTCCAGGGAGACCAGGAGGAGTGAGTGTGAGGGAGGACTGTCCTTTCTCTTTTAGCGAGCAGAGGACAGGAAGAGGATATTGCCTCTGCAGTGAGTTTTCTTGATGACAGGCAAGCCCGCATCTCATACAGTGTTATGCTAGACTTGAAATTCTGTAAGAAAAGAAAAGAAAAAGAAACTTTAAATCAGGGAGTTCCCCTTGCCCCTTAGTGGGGCCCCAAACTGCCGGCTTCCAATTGATTAAAATGCCTGGGTAAGAAGGTAAGAAGGGGACAGTGAGTTTGTTTCTCGTTCTCAAGCATTCATTGCCAAGTGCAGTGAGCACCCGCAGGTTCCAGGAAGTGCAAAATGCCAAGCAGCCTGATCCCCATGCAGAATTAAGGAACAAAAGCGGTCCCGCCTATCATCAAGGTGGACGGGTTTGGGATTCACAATGCCAAAGCTCTGGATTTATCCCTGGAAAGCCCTGCAGCGAGCGCGCACCGGGTCGGCCATTGAAAAGGCTGCACTTGTGCGCCTGTAGCTGAAACTACACTTTCTAGAGACTGGAATGAACTTGACCCTGGCCTCCGGGACACGTAGGCTGAGGCCCTACTCAAGGCCCTCCAGAGTTCAGCAGGGCTTTTGGGGGGAAAGTCCGCGCCCTCCAGGAGTCCGGCTCTCAGACCTCTTTGCCTGGCCCACGATCACGCAGACCCCGGACTCCTTCTCCCCACTCCGGACTCCCTGCTGGCGCCCTGAACAGCAGCCCCCCGGAGCCCTAGTCTGGCTCCTCGGGAAACACTGGAGCGCAGGCGGGGCAGGAAGGTTCTGTTCACCGAACTGTCCCCGAAGTGCACCGCGGACGTCCGAGCCGCGCCTCACGGGGACAGCGGCCAGGGCTGGAGCAGCAGGCCTCGGGCCTCGGGCCTCGGGAGGTTTGGTAAGAATGCAATCGGTGAAGAAGGCGTTTAGAGTCACTTCTTCAAAGTGGTGGGAAAATGGGCCAACGTTTGAGGTCATTCAACCTGATATGCGTCTTCTTCGAGATCCTTATTTAGAAACACACGCACACAAGTTTCGTTCTAGACTCCAGAGCCAAGGACGTGCACAACACGCAGGGGAGTGCTGCTGGATCCCAGGTTCCAGTTCCCCTCGGGGACACAAAGCACCCCAAGGCAGCAGCCAAGGCCCGGGGAGCGCGCGCCTCTGTTTCCCCACTCCCTCCCGCAAGCCGCCGACCGCCCCAGGGTGCACGACGCGGCCTTTCCGCAAAGGGGCTTCCTAGTGACCCTGACTCGGTCCGAGCTGGACAGCCGTGTCACACGCCTGGCTAGGCCGACCTGGGGTTCCCAGGAGCTGTCCAGTCGCCGCGCCGCCGCTAGCTCTGCGGTTCTGCTGCCCGGGCCGAGGGGAGCGGGCTGCGCCCCGCGAGGGCGGGCGGGTTCCGGCGGCTGTCTCGGGTCCCCTCCCTTCAAAGTCCAGTTCCCGCGGC